TGGTTCCCTCCACAGAAGGCTTGCACATTCTTAGCTAAATTGTATGTATGATTAACTTCCACATAAAATAATTCTATGAGGAGGACAATATTGTGAGCCCAAGTGCTATTGGGCCACAGTTTTCAAAGTTTTTCTAGAGCAAAGTAAATTGTGATTAAACTATGGCAAGACTCATGCCAGAATTTCTGTACGTTAGAGGACACCATGCCTATAAATTTGAGTGTGTGAATCTACTAATACACGGCAACAGGCTGGGGACAATTTTTCTTCTGTCTTTTTAGAACTCTCGATATTGTAACATGGATGCTTTGTGTTAATTGCAGGAATATGTGGTTTGCCTGCCAGAGCTGACCTAAGCTGTTAGCTATACAAGCACTGCATTGTGGCTCACTTGTTCCCATCTTGTGACAAAGTGGACATCTGGACTATAGCAGGCACTGCAGGGCTGGGCAGCTTTTGGCTGTCCAGATGTTTTGGACTCCGTTGCCTACAATTTCTTATCATCAGCCAAGCAAACTGGTGTTTCTGAGAGCTGAAGACCACAACATCCGAAATGGATGGGTTGGTGGATGTTTTCCTTTGCCTTATTTCGAGTCAGTTCTGCAGTCTAGGCTTATTTATGGCATTTTCAAGATGACCCTTTAAAGAATATTTCTCTTCTTCCCTATGTCCCCAGCCACTTCATTAATACCCTGTACTTTTATATGTTTATTAGTACTGGAATAGAGATGAAATAGCATGGAGAAGTCTGTGTTGCCTTGAAAGAGGATTAAAGAGTTCTTTTTACATTGGATAGAAATAAGTTCTGGATATCTATGTTTGTCCTTTTTCTGTTTACATTTAACATGAGTTAATTAGGTGACAAAGGACAGATGGTCTGTGAAGGGTATGTTTTACTGGTGAAGCAAAATAATTCTGGTATAAAGAAAACTTCAGAGATGTGGCCAAAATAAAACAAAATTAAAACTAAAATCAGTTGGGTGGCAAGAAAATTCTCATTATACTTAGTGTAGATCAGAGATAGGGAAAGTTACTTTTTCAGACTATTTGCCAGGATGTTCATTCTGGCTGTACAGGCTCTTGTATTCGTGGAATTTAAAAAAGTACTCTTTCTCAGCTCTGATGCAGAAAACACAGGTGGAAAATCACATGTATCCTGAAGAGAGGTTGGAAAAGTGGATTTTTTTTGGATGGTAGCTTTCAGATTTCCCCAGACACCATGGTTACTGGGCAATGCGGCTGGAGAATACTAGAGTTGTAGTCCAAAGAGTACACATCTCAATGTTCTGGTGAGGGGAAAAAAATTTTTTTTTGCTTGTGTAGTCAGTAACTAGTTTTTACCAGGTAGTGATTTTGGAAAAGGAGCTGAGGAGCAGATTCTGGCAGGCTTTTCCCACAGTTGCCACTCCCTCCAACATTCCCCTTTTGCCTCAAAGCAAGCAATGGAGAGAGAGTGGATTTGGCCTAGATATGGACTCTGGCTGTGACCACTACTGTTTAGACAGGGGCAGGGTGATCTTTCACTAGGAAGAGAGACAGAGACCCTTCAAGCAGCAGAGTCTAGGTGTCATAAAAACAGCAGAAATTGTCAGTTTTGAAAATGTATTACTATTGCCTTTTTACTGCCAGGAAGAGGGAGACAGGCTGTTGTGAGATGCGACACCTCTGGTGCTAAAAGTACCTGGCCAACCATAGAGAACATTTGTTTATTTGTTTGTTTATTCATACCTCACCTGTCTCCTTAAAAAGGAGCCAAGGTGGCTTACATCATTGAAATACAGCATTTAAAGCTAAGAATAGTAAGTATACAAATACTGAAAAGGATCAAGCAAATACCAAACTGAACAAACGCCACATGAAAAACACATTCAAAGCCATAAGGTTCAACAGTCCCTTAAAAACAACAACAACAACACTCACACAGCCAGTCACTGTGGGAAATTGTGCTTGGAGAGAAAGGTCTTTGCCTTTGCAGAAGGACAGCCAAGTTGAGGCCAGCCTGGCCTCCTGTGGGAGGGAGTTTCAAAGTTTGGGAGCAAGAACAGAGAAATCTCTCTCTCTCTCTCTCATGTCCCCACCAAGCGCACCCATTACCACCACCCAAGAAGAAGGACTGAGCTATGCCCCTTCTCCTTGGGTGTTGGCGATGGGAAGCCATTTTCTATTCCTCCACAGGCATCATGACTTGGATGGCCCTGGATAAGATCGGGTGGGGTATCTGTCTGTCTGTCTGTCTGTCTGTCTGTCTCTGTCTGTCTGTCTATCTATCTATCTATCTATCTATCTAGCTAGCTAGCTAGCTAGCTAGCTAGCTAGCTAGCTAGCTTTCTTTCTTTCTTTCTTTCTTTCTTTCTTTCTTTCTTTCTTTCTTTCTTTCTTTCTTTCTTTCTTTCTTTCTTTCTGATTTAAGATTAGTTAAATTAAGAAGAAAAGATAACAAAGGTGTCAGTGTAGACTCTGTTAGGGAGACTGTGTCACCATCCTGCTGTAGCTGCCAAAAATATTGGTCAAGAGAAATAGATGGTGTATTCACAAAGGCTTTCACGGCCGGGATCTAATGGTTGTTGTGGGTTTTTCAGGCTCTTTGGCCGTGTTCTGAAGGTTGTTCTTCCTAAAGTTTTGA